TTTAAGAAGTACTTGTTATTTTAGTTTACCTTGTCAAATTTGGTCCTGTCGGCAACATCGAGATCAGAGGCAGACATGTTTCCCATATCCAGCAGGGAAGATGACTGAGACCTGCGATTCCCTGAACTCTGAACACTGAGCTTATTTAGACTAGAAGTAGATCCAGTTAATTTCCCCGAACTTCCGTGAAGACCTAAGAAATAATAAAACTTTGAAAGTTGTGATCTTCAGAAATAAATGATCCAAAGTATAAAGCAGGGACGGATCTTGGTCTTCCGGGGCTCATATTAGTTAGTGCACAATCTTCTATATGGGATAGGTGATACAGTTTCCTTATCTTCCATTAACATTTGTGTCCTAATCCTGAGCATATTCAACAGAGAAGCGAAACTACACAGATCCATAGAACAGGACTGAAGAGGACCTTAAAGAGCATATTGTCTATAACCTGCCCACTTTATAAAGTCGCTAGGTATCACTAGATATCACTGGTGATATCACTAGACTAAAGTAGATGAGGGCTTCTTTTCCATTCAAAAAGACCAGAATATGGATGAAGGTCACTAAAGACCATGTTAGCATATTAGCTAGCACAGCTTCAGAAGATAACTGCGGCATCTCAATGTTACCTCCACAATAAATCAATACATTAGGTTGAACCCACACTTGATCATTCTGCCCACCAAAAAAAGTCAATTACATATGATTCGACTTAATATGATCCGAACTCTAAAACTGCTTTTCCAGTAAGTGAACTGATTATAGTCCTTTAAAAACTAAATAAAATGAAGAGAAAAAACACCCTGAAAACTTGTTATATTTAAAATACAACTGAAATGTAACACATATAGCACTAACCATATTAATATGGGACATCTGTGTTTAGGTAAAATTTAGGTATCCACCATAGCCATGAGGAAAAATGACAACATACAGCTGGGCAACAGCTCACATACACCAAGGAGTGAAAGGATTTGATGTTTAGAAGAAAATATGATATTTTTATTCAGAATTAAATATACACAATAATTAATATATTCTAAAAACATCCTTCCTATTTGTTACCTTGTACTATGTGCTAATGGTCAGAAAGGACAAATGAAGACAAAGTTGTAATAATTAAAGATAAACTTTGGCTTCATTATGTAAAATCCGACCATATCTATGTAAGAATTTTTATAGTTTTTAAACAGCCTGAAAACAGAAGTATAATGGTTAAGTCTTTTCATAAATTCCTGACACAAAGTTCTACTGCGACTCATCAAGTAGTTTTAACTATATCATACATTTCTTGGATGTACATACTACTACTATCATGTTGCCTTTCTTTCACCAATACCTGGCAATTCAGAGCAATCAAACTTTTTGGTGTTACCTTTTTTCAAGACAACTGATTTCTAGACATTAAACAAACATGCATTGAGAATACCTACTAATACACTAAGCATACTCACTCTCTGTTTCCTGTTTGACAGCACTTTCTTTTCGAGGCAGTGTAGCTGTGATGGATTAGGTTGCAAGCATCAAAGACAAAGACAAGTTAATAAACTGCAATTTGCACAAACCATGCACAAGAGGAAGTTAAAGCTCTAGTTTAAAAGACACATGCAAAGAACCATGAGCATCAAGTAACAAGAAGTGCAGACATGTTTAGTTGGTCACCTACTGTTTGAGAAATTATATGAGAGAAAAAAACTTTCCTTTTAATGTATTGTTTTTACTCAAATATTCAGGTAGAAATATCTATGTGTAACCCCCCTACAATTTAAAATGTTCTTTAAGTTTATAAAGCTGGTATATTTAAATTTAAAAGACCAAATTTGCAAGTTTTGGTTTCTTGAGAAAACATAATTCAAGTAAATAATAAAGTGGCAATTTACCGGAATGCAGCTGTAGATTTAGATATCAACAATCTTGTATTCCCCAAAAGCTCATGAAAGAAATCTCCACTGTTCTAAATAATTTTATACATATGTAATAAAACATTATAAATGGGGCTTTAAAACCATTAAAAAATTAAAACTAATTATCAAGCTTAATTACTTAGTACTGGCTTTGTGAGTGCCCATAATGAAAAGTAAAAATCATGATACTAACAATCAGATGTATGAATAAAAGGGAACAGATTTGGTAAAATAATCTGAACTCTTTTTTAGGGTCATTAGGCATTTCTTTTATCTAAAACTTCTCTCTCTATAATATCTATTAGATCAATATTAGAGCTAATTTTTTGAAACAGTCCAAACTCAAATTAGAAGTTGATGTGAGCCGGACACGGTGGCTTACGCCTGTAATCCCAGCACTTTGGGAGGCTGAGGCAGGTGGATCACCTGAGGTCAGAGGTTCGATCAGCCTGATCAACGTAGGGAAACCCCATCTCTACTATAAAGACAAAAGTTAGCCAGCTGTGGCAGCACACACCTGTACTCTCAGCTACTTAGGAGGCTGAAGCAGGAGAACTGCTAGAACCAGGGAAAGGTAATGTCATTGTGCTCTAGCCTGGGCAACAAGAGGGAAACTTAGTCTCAAAAAAACAAAACAAAACAAAAAAGAAGTTGATGTGAAAAGTGAAGAAAGATCATAGGATGAAACAGAATATCAAAGAATAAAACTAAAACCTAAAAGTATCTTAAAAACAGCAAAAAAAAAAAAAAAAAAAAAAGTGTCAGCTGACATTATCCCTGCCAAACTTCAAGGCAAAAATTTTGTCACATAGGTGACTGGTGTATCTTCATTAGTGACAGGTATATCTTCCCAGCCGTGGCTACCTGAAGCTCAAAGGAGTATGCAAAAAACAAGGCTGGACATTAATGTGGCAAACAGGGATCACACTGGAGCTACTAGCTCTGCTAGCCAATCTGAACAGTACTGTCTGGTGCCTTAAGGTGTCACTATGCTATGTTCAGCAGTGCCAGAGCAAAATCTGATTTTTTTTAACATGGTTTATCTCTTTCTTTTTTTTTGAAACAGGATCTCATTATGTTGCCAAGGCTGGACCTGAACTCCTGGACTCAAGTGATCTTCCTACCTCAGCCTCCCATATAGCTGAGATTATAGATATGGACCACCACGTCTGGCTAATTTTCTTTCTTTAGTAGACAATAAGAAATACAGACTTACTAGTAGTTACTATTAATTATAACTTGGGTTCATAAAACAGTCTATATCACTTATCAGCAAATGGTAATACTCAGGTAAAATGTTAAATATCTTTAAATAATCCCCACCACAATGTAAACTTCATAAAGGTAGAGTCTTTGTTTAACTGATGCGTTCCCAGTACTTTTAACAGTGAGTTATTAGATAATATGTAATTAATAAATATCTACTGAGTTAATCTTTCAGCCATCCTTGAATTCAACATTGTATTCAAGACTCTTCAGAATCAACAAGATTTCTTAGTTTAGTGGAGAAACAAGAATAGAATAATTTCGGCTAAAGATTTAAAATATTAAATATGAAGGAGGGCAATAATTATGTAAATGTATGTATAAAGGGACTAAAATCTCATACGGATGAGAAGTCATATGTATATATCTTAACTGTAGAAAGTAAAAATGGTGACTTAAAAAAAATTACTAAATTTCATTTCCCTGTCATTTCATTAAGTAAATTTGTAGAATACAAAGAAAAAAATACACTGAAATAATCCTGGGAGAAAAAATTCCATGCCTTTGAAAATATCAAAATAAATATATTAATCAAAAAAGGCAGCAACGTACACAAAGGCCTTATCACAAAGAAAAGCTACTTCCTGGATACTTTAACATATTTTTGAATTATTTCACTAAGTAGGTGTTAAAGACTTGATTCAAGAGTGGTTCAAAAAGAAAGGATTCTCTATTCCCCTGATTCTCTATTACTTTATTGACTATATAGTTTCTTTTTGTAAGATACATTCATTCTGACTATTCTTACCAGTATCTATTCTTAATAGCATTTGTGACCCAGAATTTTCAGAGCATCAAGTAAACAAAAAGCAAAATTATTTAAATTTCATTTATAATTACTTAATTTTGATTCACTGAAAAGTCATCTTTCCAAAATTTGAGGTTTCTATTTTAATTGTAATTACAGATGCTCCTTGACTTACGATGGAATTACATTTCTTGCCCTTTTTCTTTTTTTTTTTTTTTGAGACAGGGTCTTGCTCTGTTGTCCAAGCTGGAGTGTAGTAGCACAATCACAGCTCACTGCAGCCTTGACTTCTCGGGCTCAAGTGATCCATGCACCTCAGCCTCCCGAGGAGCTGGGATCACAGGTGCACACCACCATGCTGGCTAATTTTTTATTTTTTTGTAGAGATGGGGTTTTGTCATTACCAAGGCTGGTCTGGAACTCCAGGGCTCAAGTCATCCTCCTGGCTCAGCATCCTAAAATGCTGGGTTTATATGTGTGAGCCACTGCACCAGGCTGGAGTTACCTTTTGATAAACCCATTACAAGGTGAAAATATAGTAAACAGAAAATGCATTTAACAGACCCAACTTACTGAGCATAGAGGCCTAGCCTACCTTAAAGATGGTGAAAACACGTTAGCCTAGAGTTGGGCAAAATCATCCAATACAAAGCCTATTTTATAATAAAGTATTGAATATTTCATGTAATTTACTGAATATCATACTGAAAGTAAAAAACAGAATGGCTGTACGGGTACTTGAAGTATGATTTGTACTGACTGCAGAGTGCTTTTAAACCACTGTAAAATCAAAAAATCCTAAGCTGAAAAATTATAAGCCAGGACAGTCTGTAGTATTAAAAATTCATTTAAACACAATTTGAATCATCTTAAAGATATCTTTGAAAAAAATTTACATTATACCTTATTCAGAACTTCTCAAGTCATTTGCATTTAACTTTACATTAATTATTAAAATACTAGCTAAAAGTTAGATTTTCAAACATGAACCACATGAACCAAACTATTTTTATACTCTGAATTGTTTATTTAGTTTTTCTTCTCCTATAGCTATCAAAATAACTGATACTGTAATTTTCTTTTGTTTTATAGACTGTTTCACAAATTAGCATGTCATCCTTGCACGGTGCAATGCTCACCTTCTCTCTTTTGTTCCAATTTCAGTATATGTGCTGCTAAAGCAAGCACATTTTTCTGTGCAATCAATTGTCACACCTAATTCTCCTATCCTTGCTATTTAATACATTTAGTAGAAGATATGTAAATTTAACACTTATAAAACTACAAAAGTACCTTTTAAACCTCTATTATGTTAATTAAAAATGTTTTTAACAAGATAATTTAAGAATTTCTCAAGGAAGAAAAAAATTTAGGTTAAGGTTAATGCAATGATAACATTAAGATACCACTGTACTTGATTTAAGTTATATTTTTATTATTTCATTTATCTTAATGTGAATCTTAGACTTGATAAACTATTATGATACTAGGATTAATGACCTACTCAGGAGACAATTTTACAAATATTTCTCTTTTATCTCCAGTTTTCATATACTAAAGGAGTTCTCTCAAAATAAAATGGTTCACTAACAAGTGGTGACAAATATACTTAATGAAAACATTAAACATGTAACTGCATTAATATGCTGTTTACTGAAAAAAAAAGCATAACATATCCACAGTGAAACATTAACAAGGATATAAACACATCGCTGTTTAAGAACAATTAACCTTTAGGATGAGTTAGCATTTCTGTTTCCAAAAGCATACTGTCCCAAGATTCTTGTCAGTATTTGTAAAGTGTAGCACATGTACACACAAATCCAAACCATTTCAAATGTCTGGACTAGTATGATCAATATATTAATGTTTCTTTTTTTAAAAAACAGTGAGTTACAGAAATAATTACCCATTAATGACAGTCTTCTCTGTCCCACAGAAAAGGATGGAAATATGTACAATTAGTTTTCAATCCTGTTTCTCGATTACTGAAGTTGCTTAGGGCATAGGCTCCTTTCAACAGGCAAATGCTAAACTCATTATTCTAAAGGGGAGCTATGCAGACACACTGAGGAGTACACAATGTGGCCATTTAAGGCCAGGTTTTGACTTGAATAGGCACAAAACTCCATCCAAAAGGAACTCCAGAGATGGGTACATGCAAGAGCGGAATGTGGCCTCGGCAAATCGCCTTCCTCGTAACTTGATACTGTCACTGGCTATTCTTTCAAATAATGTTTTTGTCCATTTGAAATAGTTAGAAACAACAAAAATTAACATGCTTCAAAACATCTCTTCAGGAAAATAAGGTAAAATGACATGAGAATGTTTGGTGACTGTTTTATAGCCCTTTGGCAGGGGATAAAATATTTAAACTTTCTTTTTGATTCAAAATAGCCAGTGAGAAGTAAGAAGCTAGGAATCAGTTTCATTTCTATGTGGAGAGCAATGACTTAAGAGATTAGTGACTTGCCCCCAACTGTTACAAAAAGTCTTTTAGGGAATTAGAAACAACTCCCAACATCTGTCTCTCAGTCTAATACTTTTTCTACTTAACTGCACTTCATTTTCTCACCAACTGCTTTCCCTATGAATACACATATTTGATTACAGCATGAATACACAATTGCTGCCATAGTCACATACTGTAGAATTTTAATAGGAAAAAAAATTTAGATATACTTATTTGTTCCATGAAACAGCTATAAATCAAGCCAATGTATTAGACCTCTGTTTTCATTCATTCTACTGGATCTACCTCCACCTTGCTTAAGATGTCTTAGAATTATCTGCTATAAATAAAACCATTTTTAATAGGAAGATAATCAACTGACATGCCTAAGCTTACCAAACTTCTTGCTTTCTTTAGTTGTGCCAGTCATCTTGATCTTTGCAACTTCAAAGAAATCTTTGATTTCTCTTTCATACAGTCGGGATAAATAATCCATGTAATTCTTAAAATAAAAGTAACACATACTTCCTATTAATAAAACACATATAACAATTTCCATTTTTCAATTCTCCAAGTCCTTCATGCTTATTTTAAATTTCCTGGTGCAAAACTTGGATGTATGTCACAGGATATAAAAATAGGTTATTTTCTGTCTTAAAAAAACAATTGAATCGGCATCATAACATTAACAATTTACAAACATATGAAGTCAAACATAGCTATATTTATATTTTCATTTTTCTATATTAACTTTTGCATATTTTAAATATCACTGCAATCATACTATACAGAATATCTGAATCAGAACAATCACGTTTCTCCAGTCTCACATTTTAATGACAGCACAGTATTCAGTTTTGTTGGTGTAGCACCATTAAGTAAACCAATCCCCTAACAAAGGACAATGAAGAGGTTCCCATGTTTTGCAGTGATAGACAATGTTACAATGATCTTTTCATTTCTAATGAACTGTTTCTTTGGAATAATTCTTTAGGGGTGGAATTACAGGGTCAAGGAGTATGGGAATCTTAATTGCTTTCCTCTGTAATGCCATGCTGCTTTAAAAACAGTTATACCAATCATAAATAGTGTTCATGGCATTTAAGGATATTTAGTTTCACTGAGCCTCTGTTAGCTTGGGGCATTACCCCAAAATAGGTTATTTTCCCTAAGAATTTAATTAGTGTATCTTACAGTCTCCAAAATTAAATAATTAATTTTCTCAAAACAGGTTTGATTCTCACTTAAATAAAAACACCTATCCTTTGACATGCAAAAATCATTTCTTCATCATTTCTACTTATTATCACATAAAAATATACTCTCAGGAAGAGTTCCTCAGTAGTGGGAGACTGTATGTTTTTCCAAGTATGAAGTTAAATGCCACACACAGAGTTTGACTAAATTTAAATAAATCCATAGCAGAAAAGACGTACCTAGCTATTCCTTTAAGTTTATCAAAAAATCTAAGCTTCAACTTCCTATACTATTCCAAATTAATATGTCCATTTTTAGAACATATTTACTTGACTTTAAAGATCAAGTATACCTTCCAGAGGGTACATGTTATATAAATATTTGGATATTGATTCATAGCTTACCACTGATTTTCTTAAGTATTTTACAGATGTAGCCTTATAAAATAGCATTTGGGCCAAACATAGGTATAGATCCTGCCCTTTTTCAATTTATAGGTCATACACATTTTTCATACAATCTCTGTAGGCACACTTAGTCAAATGAGCAATTCTTTCCCATGATCTCTGTATAACTTTAAAAGCAAATATAAAATAAAATTCCTATTTCATAGGGATGTATTACTTTTTCAGTGGGACACAAATGCCTTAAATACCTTTTCTCCTGGTACTCAACAGAACTCACTGATAATAAAGACCACAGGCAGGTTTTACTTTATCAGTGTCTCCCCAAAACTCTGATGCCAGCCTGGGCAGCATGGTAAAACCCTGTGTCTACAAAAAATACAAAATTAGCTGTGAGTGGTGGCACATGCCTATAGTCCCAGCTACTCAGCAGGCGGAGGCAGGAGGACCGCTTGAGCCCAGAAAGTTGAGGCTGCAGTGAGCTGTGATTGTGTCACTGCATTCCAATCTGGGTGACAGAGTGAGATTCTGTCTCAAAACACCACACAACAAAAGAAAACAAAACAAAACCCTATAGTAAGTTTTAAATTTTAAGATGATACTTTAGAACCCAAGATCACCATCTTCTCTACTGGCTCTCTGATTTTTTTTTTTCCTTCCACCAGCCTCAGCTTCTCTGGCTCTCTAACTAAATCTGCCTTTCCTCCCAGCAACCCATGCCCCTACTGTTTGGCTTTCGAGTAGCAAGCGGTGGAACCTGGGTCCACTGTAGAGTCTTCCAGAGACCTCCATGTTTTACTTTTTCTTTATACAATGTGAAAGGAAAATAAATTTGGGGGCCCCAAAATCACTAAGCTAAAGGGAAAAGTCAAGCTGGGAACTGCCTTGGCAAACCTACCTCCCATTCTATTCAGATATCCTTCTGCTCACTGAGATAAATGCATACCTGATTGGCTCATTTGGAAAGGCTAATTGGAAACTCAAAGGAATGCAACCATTTGTCACTTATCTATCTATGACCTGGAAGCCCCCTCCCTACGTCCCAACGTTTGCATGAAGTTGTTCAGCCTTTCCAGACCAAACCAAACCAAACCAATGTTCACGTTACATATGTTGATTGATGTCTCATGTCTCCTTAAAATGTATAGCTATGGCCCAATTGCCTTGGGCACATGTTGTCAGGACCTAATGAGGCTGTGTCATGGGTGCACATCCTCAACTCTGGCAAAATAAACTTTCTGAATTGACTGAGGTCTGTCTCACATATACGGGATTCACAACAATAGGACAAATTCTACAAATGTAGAACTGAGGTGGAGAGAAGACATGTGAGTCATTTGCAAGCTAAACTGCCAATCAGGAGGGTATTAGGAGAAGAAAACTCCTTTCCTACCCATAGATGGACCATCTCTACTAACTGCCCTACATGTATGACCCAGAGTCGCAGATAGGGGTAGCAGTCCTGAGAGGAGGGAATCTGGGCAATCGAAGCTACATCTATTTTTCGTATATCAAAAATTGCGGCTTTGCTTAGATTCAGCCTCAGTACAGCTAGAGGCAGTGGCTAGTGATTCTTACTTCCAAAGAATTTTGAACAAGCTTTTCCTGTTCCTGCCAAAAAGAGTGAGCTGTGTAAACCTAACCAAGTGCAAACAGCTTTCTGAATTTACGTATGATTTCTTGCTAAAGAAATTTAGCCAGATTTGCCTGTTCCCTTTTTTCTTCCATTCCTTTCTTCCTTTTTAAGTAAAATTCCTGTTTTTTGACAATTCTTCTGCAGCCAAATTAGATTATGAGGTAAAAATACATAATCTGTCAAAAGCTCAAATCACAGGATAAAGCAACATTCCTGGGAAAAGATCATTTTCATTTAAAAAGCTCATTAATATTGTCAATCAAAAAAATAGTCTGAGCAGAGAATGATTCCATAAATCTACTAGGTTGGCTATAATCTTGTTTCTTCACTTTAAATTACATTCATGAATACTGCATTATATATAAAGATAGGGCAATAATAGTTACTGGGAGCACAATTAGGCAAAAAGCTTATTGATTACTTATTTGAATATTCACTAGGGGACAAAGCACTTGTTGGCACAAAACTCTTAAGAAAATATAATTTATGTTTAATTATT